ACCGGTTGTGGAGAACTATAGGCAATTTTCGATGCCTACAGCTGTTTGCCGAAAAAGTTGCTGTATTCATTGCTGCATTCATTACAACTTTGATCGTTACAATGAAATAAAAAGATAGCCTTTTTATAAGACTGGTACACAATGAAAACAAATGAAATACAACTCTTTTCAAATAAACGCAAGATCTGTTTGTCATCTCTTGCTTGCGTGGGTCTTTTGCCTGTGACGGGGATGTTGATATCCGCAAACATTCGTAGTGGTATACGAACCACGCCATCAAGTAGGTGTACGGTAGCCCCACCCTAGGATTGGAGTTTTGATAACTACTCCTTCTCCCTCATCAAGGACCGACACACGGCAGAATTGGGCCGTCAGAGTGCGGAGCCCTCGGTGAATGCACGATATCGTCGCCGATACCAGGGAATAAGACTTCCCGTGAGCTAGGCAAACCGCCGGATACACGACCTCCACAGGAAGAGCCTCAAAGGAGTGAGTGGGGATTACGCACCTCTTCAGCCATAACATGAGGTACCCCGCGAGCAGCGCCTTCCCCGAGATGAGAAACTTCGCCTGATGATGGAATGAGTGAAGGACAGTACCAGACTTAAACCCGCCCTCTAACTATTTGATCATTAGTTTGTAATAAGCCTTCTTATAAATACAAACGAAACTCCCTCTTCCGGGAAATCAAATATTCACCCTACAGTATCTCAGACTCATCATTTTTTAGAGAGGGATCTGGGACACTTTGGATATGATAAGCTTTCCCTGCAATTTTTCCAGTTCTTTGTTGAGGAAATCGCGTAGAATGGTTTGTGAATGGCTTCAATCCTTGACTTCTTCATCTTTTAGCCTATTCAGTACTTTGTAGAATAGCTAAAATTCCTCCGGTGCTGCGTTTATCGCGTGGCCGTTGTCGAAGTCTCAAATTAAAACTGCTGTCGAAGAATTTGAGAAATAGTTTATACTCATATACTATATTGGAGTGTTCGGGAAATAGTTTAACCTCATATACCCGTTGGGAGGTAACCAGGTTATTCTTAAGAATATTTTGAGTAATATTCTCCAGAAACTTCCTGTTGAGATTAGGGAAATAGTTTAGACTCGTATACCTATTGGAGTATTCTGGTCTCTTGTTTGTTGGTAGAGATGAACCCGATAATGGAGAGGAAGAATTTTATATTCTGTCTCCTGGTCTCTTGTTTGTTGGTAGAGATGAACCCGATGATGGAGAGGAAGAATTTTATATTCTATCTCCTGGTCTCTTGTTTGTTGGTAGAGATGAACCCGATGATGGAGAGGAAGAATTTTATATTCTATCTCCTGGTCTCTTGTTTGTTGGTAGAGATGAACCCGATGATGGAGAGGAAGAATTTTATATTCTATCTCCTGGTCTCTTGTTTGTTGGTAGAGATGAACCCGATGATGGAGAGGAAGAATTTTATATTCTATCTCCTGGTCTCTTGTTTGTTGGTAGAGATGAACCCGATGATGGAGAGGAAGAATTTTATATTCTATCTCCTGGTCTCTTGTTTGTTGGTAGAGATGAACCCGATGATGGAGAGGAAGAATTTTATATTCTATCTCCTGGTCTCTTGTTTGTTGGTAGAGATGAACCCGATGATGGAGAGGAATGGCTTTGGTCCTAACTGTTTAAAGGTTTGACCAAAAGGGAGTTTTGAGACGATCCTAACTGTTTAAAGGTTTGATCGTTCAATTTGTGGACCTCTCGTTCATGGAACGAATCGAGAGGGGATTTTGGCTTTGGTCCTAACTGTTTAAAGGTTTGACCAAAAGGGAGTTTTGTGAGGGAAGATTGATCTAAAGAATTGATCGAATCTCATCTCAGCAAAAGAGTATTCGGAAATCACCATAGGGATATAGTGTTTATCACTTTGTTTGTAATGATCGGGTTATCCCTAAGAAAATTACATATAGCATTCTTCTGAGAACTTCCCGTTACATGAATTATCCACCCCCAGCTTTCTTTGCAAAACTAGGTGTAACGAGGAGTACGTTATCCTCAGTCGCATGTTCGGGTTATCCTTAAGAATATAAGATTCTCCATGAACTTCCCGTTATATAAATCATCCACCCCCAGTTTCCTTTGCGAAACCGGGTTTAACATTGTACTCAGTTGGATAATCGAGAAGCAGTTTATACTCATATACTCTTTGGAGTGAGATGGAGAAGCAGTTTATACTCGTATACTCATCGGAGTGAGGGAAAACAGTTTATACTCGTGCTCCCACTGTGGTCGCCAGCTTGTTTGCGTCAAAAGTTGGTTTTGTCATGGAATTCATTATATCTTCGGTCGATTACAACAAATTCAAGAGAGAGAGTCTTTCTTCTTCACAAACATCCTCAAGAAGCTTTTGGCCAGTCCTAGAGATCTAAGCTCTGACTTGATCTTTAGAAGAGTGAACATCTTACATCGATAAGATATTCGCTTCAAATTCTTACTTCGATAAACGAAGGAAGAATCATTAAACCCCTCACGGTTCAATCAGAATCTGTGATTTGGTGGTCCACGAGTCAAAGCGCTTCCGGCACAGGCAAAGATCCCACGCAAGCAGCGATCCAAACAACGATCCTGCGTTTGTTTTTCAAGAGTTGTAATTTTCCTTTTGTTGTGTAAAAGAAGTCTTATAAAAAGACTATCTCTTTTGAATTTGTTGTAATCGACCGAAGATATAATGAATTCCATGACAAAACCAACTTTTGACGCAAACAGTGGGTGATCTAGATAGACAACGATTTACTACTGGTTATGTATTCAGGATACACTGGGCTCCGGTTAGTTGGCGGTCGATGTTACAGGCTACAATGACACTTTCTACTACAGAGGTCGAGTACATGGTCATGACGAAGGGAGTGAAAGAAATATTATGGTTATGCGGTCTTTTAGACAATTTGGGGATTAAGCAGGAGAGCGTGAACTTGTGGTGCGACAGTCAGAGTGTGATTCACTTGGCGAAGAATCAAGTTCAGCATGCTTGTGCTAAGCATATCGATATTAGGTATCATTTCATGCGGGATGTTATAGAGGAAAGCGATATTTCTCTCATGAAGGTGCATACGAATAAGAATCCCTCTGACATGTTAACTAAGGTGATCATAGGTAGCAAGTTTAAGCATTGCTTGGACTTGCTTCATATTAGCCCATGTTGAACTGCCCAAGAGGGCATGACCCTTCGGGACGGTGATGGGGTGAGGTGGAGACTATGGTGGAGAATTCCTGAACTACAATTAGCTTGATCCAGATGGAGGGTACTTAGACAGCCGCGGTAAAGTGACGTAGCTGGTTTAGCCTGGTTTGACCTAGTTTGATGGTTTCAGATCTCTCTGATGATGTTCACAGTGTTCTTCTGGTGTTCGTCCAAAATTTAAGGTTTATCAAATAATGTACGAGGTGGAAAGTTATGAATGTGGGGTGTCACACCCACGAGTGCGGACATCTGCTGCGGGCCCAGGGTCCACCCGCTTCCATGTATAGCAATACATGTGCAGCGATATTTCTTCTCCTATAAATACTCTAAGTCGGTTAGGGTTTCTGCGTGGGAGAAAAACGAGGAAAAACAACATAGGTTTTTTTTTCCGGTTGCAGAGAAGAAAACAATGTTTTTTGGCGGCTAGAAAATAAGAGATATTGAGGAGAGAGCTTTGGAGAGATTTTACAAGAGAGATGTCAATTTCTTTTGGGTAAAAATTAAATCTTCTTCTTTTGAGACGAGCTTGTGGATTGTACAAGTCGTCGGTATTCTCCTCATAGTGGAATCTTCCCTCCCTCCTCACGTGGACGTAGACAAGTTTTTCGAACCACGTAAATATCATGTCTTTACTGTTTTCTAGGTGTTGGCTATTGCTTGTAGGTTCTCTCGACAATTAAGATCTAGAACTGATGAGAGAAAGAGCGTATATCTCACTTTGTTGAGATGTTTTACTTTTATTCTTGTTTTTTATTTTAAACGGGAATATAGAGGTTGACTTGAGCTTTTGTGAAAATAAAAATCAGGGCTTTCTCTCGGGTTATATCGCTTCCGCGGCGTAATAGCGGGACTCTACGCTCAACAAAACTCAATAGTTATAGCATAATATATTGTTTGAATACTTTCTCTGTCTTTTTCTCTTTGGAGATAAATTGTTTTATATTTTCAATACCAAAGCATCAAATCAAGAGTGTAATTATCAAGCTCCACAGAGCTTCACTGGAATAACAACAGATGGAAGAGGACCCGAAAGAAGTTGGTGGTAAGAAAGGTAGGTCGGTAACTAATGGGGTCAGCGAAAGTGAAAGCCACTGTACTTTTTTTCTCCGTATCTTTTATTTAATTACTGTTCCACGGTAATAAACCAGAAACGCTTTTTGTCTTCACCTCAACAGTCTCGATCTATTTGCCCCCCAAAAAAAGAATCTAAAATAATAAGCGGTATTTTTTATTTTTATTTTTGGCTTCGATCCGTATCCAATTTCTGTACGACACGTCGCCAAACATCTTTTTCACTATATTCCTATTAAAAATCAATAATTGTGTACTTTAAACAAATTCCTTTATTTTTTTTATTTTTATTTTTAATGACGCGGTTGGTGATGGGTCCAAAGCGGGTGGGTTAGGTGTCAGTGATGATTGGTTGGAAGTGTAAATTTAAATGTATTAAGTTTTGATTTTATAGAGTAGTGTATTTGTTAATAATAAGTGGGAGAGAATTGGATGGTAATTTAATTAGTCATGATAAAACTATTTAATATTCGAGCTTTTTCAAAGCTGGAAGCAACAGATTAAATAGTATAGCCTCCTCCATTGAAGGATGCGCCTAAAGGAATAGCGGGGGGTGGAGAGAGAGAGCTTTTACCTTATTATTAGGCTGAGTGTCCATAAACTCCACCAAGGCCCAATCACGAGCTCCCATCTTTCTTCTTTAGATCTCCCAACAGCAAGGAATAAGGATTAAAATAGATGAGAGCGAGAGGTTGGATCGGGATTCAAGACCCCCATCGATCCCAGTTTTTTTTTTTTTTCTAAAAAATAATAATTTCCCTCAATTCTCCGATCTTTTTCGTTTCGATCGCTACGTATCAATTTCTTCAGTTTTGGGCGACTGGGCTTCCGTCCAAATCCTCTCCTTTGCCCAGCTCATGTAATCGGATCTCCGTGTACGTACGTTGTGGGTATTTTAGTCAGCCAGTCGAGTGGGGTGGGTATACAACTAATAAGGCGCTGGCTTCCAGATGATGACAAGGTCAGGGATGGAAGTCCTCTCCCCAGCCTCGTCCTACTTCACGAGCTCGAGCTGGATCCTGGGCGAGAAGAGAAGCGGGAGCTGGACGCAGCAGGAGAACAAGATCTTCGAGAACGCGCTGGCCCACGTCGACAGCAAGACCCCGGACAGGTGGGAGAGGGTGGCGGCCATGATCCCGGGGAAGACGGTGAGGGACGTCGTCTCCCATTACAAGGATTTGGAGGCCGACGTGAACCACATCGAGGCGGGCCTGATCCCCTTCCCCGGCTACAGCTCTCCGTCGTTCGTGCTGGACTGGGAGGGCGGATTCGACGGGTTGAAGCAGAAGAGACCCGGAGGAGGTGGGAGGTTCTCTGATCAAGAGAGGAAAAAGGGGGTCCCTTGGACCGAGGAGGAGCACAAGTAATCAAGACTTCCTTTCCTCTGCTTTTTTTTTTCTCCCCCTTTAATAATTATCAAATATTTTAGTTGCTGTTTCTCGCTCGCTCGCTCGCTCGGATCAGGTTAGTTAGGTTCTCTATGGTAATAGTCCATGTTTGACTGATTGAAGGCAATACGTACGTGCGTGGGTATTAATTATTTGGGTTTCATCTTGGTTGAAGCTGAATGCAAGATATCCCGTCATTTTTTTTAAAAAAAAAAGAATTTTTTTTTTTTTTTGGCTGATAGATGATGATCTTTGAGTGCTAGCTTAATTAGAGACCCGGACTTTGGTCTCTTTCCTTCGAATTTGTTGTGGCTTTCACTGATGATAGAAATTGATACATTGATCGGTCGCAGGCTGTTTCTAATGGGGCTTAAAAAGTACGGTAAAGGGGATTGGAGGAACATTTCGAGGAATTTTGTAGTCACCAGAACTCCTACCCAAGTTGCTAGCCATGCTCAAAAGTACTTCATCAGGCTTAATTCAGGCGGCAAAGATAAGAGGAGGGCAAGTATTCATGATATTACGACTGTCAATTTGCCGGAAACTAGTCCTTCGTCATCCCCATCTCAGCCTTCGGCGCTCACGATGCAATCAACTTCTTCAACTGCTACGGAGAGATCGGATCAAAACGACCAAGCCAGTTGCTTCAGTTCCTCATTCAGGCAACTGCCTTTCGGTGTAGATCCTTACGGAATAAAATTGGAGGCTCATCAAAATCATCACACGGTTGCTCATCGTGCTATGCTTATTTAGATGCCGTCAGATCATTCCACAGATTGGTATAAACAATATATGGGCACCGTGTTAGGAGATGCCGGTGAGGATTTTGAGCATTCTCGTGATACCTTAGTATGATGTCTAGAGAAATTTTCGTGTAGATGTTACTTGCGTACATATTGGCATTATTTCTGTAAAACTCTTGAGGATGTAAGTCTATATCTTGGAACATAGAATATTTAGGCCTATATATGGTGGTGCTTTATTTATGCTGTTATGAAATGTGTGTTCAATTATGAATACTCAGGTGCAGAGTTAAAGATGCAGTGAAGGCCTATATCAATATCAATGTGTGTTGCATGAAATTGGTACTGGAGATCGAACATACGGTTTATTGTATTAATTTGCATTGGTCATAGCTTATTGATCCTCTGCCTTGTCTCCTCCCGTGAAACTTTTAGTTTGATGATTGATACCATCATATGATGTGCAATATGAAGTTTCTGTTATTAAGAGTGAACAGAGAGGCACTGAATTTAAAAATGAAATAGAGCTTGATTATGCACCTGCAGCATTGATTTGGACCATTTTATCCATCGTTTTCGACCAGTTAGCTTTGCTGAACATGTCTGAGTCATAAGGCATTTTTGTGAGATTGCTTCATCTGCTTTTTAATTATATTATAGAGATTTGCTCTTAAGTTTTTATGTTTTGAGCTTCTAATATGAACTGGTCGTGACTCTGAGATTGATCACTTAGTAGTTGGATCTGAGTCTGAATTCCACTAGCTCAGCATCTCATGCTTTTTAATATCAACTCCTTTTTCTTGGTTCCCTCGGTTTTCTTTTCTAGAGAGGTATCTTTGGTATTTCCGCTTTCCTTTTTCTCTCTCTCTGTCTCTCTCTCTCTTTTTGGAAAATCCCCTGCATGAATATTTCCTTTTTTTTTAGCGGCTAAATACCCATATTGGTATTTTAATTCAACCCCATTTACCAACAATGTATTTTAATTAGGAAATTCGGCGATAAGACATTTTAATTGAATAAAATTATCATTTAGGTCATTTTTCTCGTCGGCGGCCACTTTTCCGGCGATAACTCATCACGTGCGTTGCGCGTGGGGGCTTAATCTGTGTTTAAGATGCTGATGTGGCTCTGTTTTCTGACGTGGCAGGGAATTAACCCTCTACTGTTCATCATCCCCCCGCCTCTCTCTCTCTCTCTCTCTCTCTCTCTCGTTTTCTCCTTCCCGAACCCACGTCCACCGCCGCTCCTCCCCTCGACCACCGCTCCGGCCTCCGTCGCCCTCAGCCGAGGTCACCCCCGCGGAACTAAAGCCATAATCCGTCCGTAGCTCGTCCCTCCAACAAAGAATTCAAACCCCGAAAGTTTCACAACAGCAAGAACCCAATAAACCCAAGACTTCATCCATTTCTGTAGGTGATCTTCTGACGCGCAGAAACTCATCACAATCAAGAATCGCAAGAAACAAAAAAAAAACTCCATTACCTCTCTCTCTCTCTCTCATTCCTCTTGAGCTCCCCAACACAAACTCCTCCGTTCATCCTCCAACGATGGAAGAAAACAAGAAACGGGAACAAGCCATGATCACGACCCAAGACTCGGAGACCGAGCAGCGAAAACAAGACTCATCAGACAGCTGCAGGCGTTGGGCGGCGCGGTCAGGGGGTCTCGGCGGTCGGGCAGTGCTGAGGGCCGGTGGTCGAGGGGAGGAGCGGCGGTGGACGTGGGTTCGGAAAGGAAAAAAAGAGAGAGAGAGGCGGGGGGATGATGAACAGTAGAGGGTTAATTCCCTGCCACGTCAGAAAACAGAGCCACATCAGCATCTTAAACACAGATTAAGCCCCCACGTGTAACGCACGTGATGAGTTCTCGCCGGAAAAGTGGCCGCCGACGAGAAAAATGACCTAAATGGTAATTTTATTCAATTAAAATGTCTTATCGCCGAATTTCCTAATTAAAATACATTGTTGGTAAATGAGGTTGAATTAAAATACCAAAATGGGTATTTAGCCTTTTTTTAGCTAGTTCATTTATTCAATGGAGCACTCTTTTAAAGGCTATACGGTCTTTTCTCAATAAGAAGAAAAATAGAACTGTTTTCATTAATAAGTAAATTAAGCCTATGTTTGTTTTGATCGTACTCCTGCAGTCATCATTTTATTGACTCATTTTCTTATTACATGCCATCCTGCAACCTCCCAAGATGTCAGTATTCATGGGTATCACCTTCCGAAAATTTACATGTATAAAAAATAAAACAATGATATGTTACTAAGCCTCTAGGTTATTTTTCCTTTTATTCTGTAGGTCGTAGAGCTTCAACTTCCATCGCCGTCGTGACCGTAACTAGTGTATAATTGATCGAAGTCCATCATCAGATGTATTTAGTGATTTCTTAAGATTAGTGATCACCCCTGTTAACATTTCGAAGACAAATTTTTATAACAAGTGCAGCACCTTTTTCTTTTGGAAAGATACAGCAGCCTTTTTTTTTCACCCCTCCACAAGTTGTGCATTCGGAAAGCACTAAACTTTATTCTCTGCTCTTTAATTTGGTCCTCACATCCAAGTGGATTCTGATCTCACGACTTCCTACTTTTTAATTAATTAACATCATATCCTTAAATATTCTAATTAAAACTAATTTAACAGTAGACACCTATTCGATACTTCCTTAATACAATGATTCCGAACCATGGATACCACTAAATAATTTTTTTAATAACAGAGGAAATATTGTATGGGAACTATATATTTTAGATCTTATACTTGGCAAAAAGTAGAAATATATCTTTTTACCCGCTTTTAGAACTAATCATTATATATATACAGTGATCAATGAGCGTGGGAGAAGATTTAAGGATCGACAAGTACACAATCTGTGAGCACTTGTGTTGTGGGGTTATCATTGAGCGTGAGCTTCTTCACTAAACTATGACTGAACTCTGAACAAAGTACGACGCGCGATCACAAAATTCGCACTTTTAAGAGATCTTTTTTTTTTGTTTCCAATCAATTTATTAGGAGTGGCGGAATCTTAACTTAGGAGATTCCCAAGGTTAATTGGCTGCTAAATTTGCTTTTAAAAAATCTCTGTCACCAAACTCATAGAAGCTACATGATCTCTCCGATCAGGAAATTAAGGTGGGGAAAAAAGAAAAAAAGAAAAAGAAAGAAAATTATGACTTAAATAAGTAATTGAATAGTATGGTTTCATGCGACAATATATACACCTCCAGGTCTGGGTGAAATCCAACCCGTTGATTGATTCTAGTTTGAATTTGTATAATTATCATCAAAACCCAATTAATGACTCCAGGCCGCAGTCGCGATTCTGACTTTCTTTAATCAAAATCCTATTTTTGTCTACCCCTGAATAACATAAAGCGCCTACTTCGTGTCAATTTAGATTCGATGTCCTTTTGTGCATCTCACGTAGCTTTATTTCTGCAATTCTTTCCTTCTCAGTGAAGGCATTCTCAGCTATTGGCTGACCCCCACAACAAATTCTTTCATACCGCCCATGGTTCCATGTGTATTTTCAAATGCAAGTCCACAAACTACACAATGATGTCACAAGCTTTTTGGTGGGAGCAAGGCATCACACACACACGCGCACGCTAGTGTGGCCACCCTTTAAATTTTAATATATTTGATTTAATTATTATATGTTTAAAATTAGAAATCATATCAACTCCTTTATACTTAAAAAAGAACTCAACTTTTAATATATTTGATTTATATATCATATCTACTTTTTTATATTTAAAGAATGATACAAGTTTTAATACATTTGATTTATTTAACTATTTATGATACGGTTTACTGTAGCATAAGTAGTAACCTCTGTTACGGTCAGTCACCATACTAAAATAGAAATATCGGGAGAATGTCTACATAAGCCCAAGAGAGCTATGGTCCAAATCAACTTAGAGGCTCAAAAGCCCAGTCAAGGCCAAGTCCCTCGACAAGACGAGCAAACAAGCCATATTTCGATCAACAGGTCATCATGACCGGCTCGAAGTGCGGGATCAGTCGCTCCCTCGCGATACGCCGCAAAAAAAAAAAAAAAAAAAAGCCATATTTCGATCAACAGGTCATCATGACCGGCTCGAAGTGCGGGATCAGTCGCTCCCTCGCGATTAAGACAACTCCTCGAGCAGACGACTCGACTATACACCCGACCCGAAGCTCACTCGACTGTTGGGTCGCCAAATCATAATGATGGCTCGCAGATCAACCCGCCTCGACTAAAGAGATAAGAGCCGACCAAGTTTACTTCAAATGTCAATCGACACAACAGTACTAATTAGTGCCATCAAGATCTCCATTCTGACAACCCTCGTGCCCCAGTCGCTTATTCGGCTTACAAGTCATTCCCCAGAAGATTGCCATGATGCTTTCCTGTGCACGAATGACTTCTCCTCCAATCGCCAGCCGCCATCTGGAGAGAGAAGGACGGCCACACAGCCGACCTATCCTACACCCTGCTTCTTCTGACAAAACCAGGGTACTGAGAGGACAATCATCTCCTGTATTCCAATGACTTCCCTTCCAATTGTCAGCCGACATCTGGAAGGAGAAGGATAACTCAGCAATCGATCTGCCCACCCTGCAACCTCCTTCCTGTGCAAGAGAAAAGCAAAAAGTCTCAGAAGCTATATAAAGGAGGTAGGAAGGGTAAGAGAGAAAAGGAAAAAAAGAGGGAAAAAGGGGGCTACTGCTCTCTGCCTCTTTTTACACTTGAGCTTTATTTCTCTTTGGGATCTTCTTTTCTTTACATCAAGAGCATTTTAATAACTCTTAAGAGAAAACCCCATGCAAGGACCTCAATGGCTCAGGTGCCTCACAAAAATCCATCCCCAAGTTCACCAACTTGACTACTGTGATAAAAGTATTTGGGCTGTTTATTACTCCTTGGGAGAACGAAGGATCAAAATTCCTGCAGCTTCCACCTGAATTAAAACATTTGGTTACTGTTGGATTAAAACGAAACAGTCCAAAATGGTTCATGAGCCTACAACGTGCGGGACATCACTGGCAGTAGGCCCTGTTGTGCAGGCCAGCCCACCAACCTGAAACCCATAAAGGGACTTACGTATTCGTTTATGATGCTGAATCCAGCCCAATAGCCCAACTAAAGAAAAAGATTAAGAAAAGAAAAGAAAAAGTTTAAGGAACCGTTTTCAAGTTGATTGCTGAAATACATGATGTTACGTATTAACGAAAGAATCAAATATGAGATGAAGTTCTTAACGTTTGCTCCCTCTTCTGCACACGTCTTTTTTTAAAAATTGGTGACGTGGCGAGTTTAAAACCGTGAGCTTTGCGAACTGTTTGCTTGACTGGACGTCTCTCTTTCTCACTCCTTACTTTGATTACAAGACCAGAAAGTAAAAGATTTATTACGAAAATAGCCCCTCACATCTTTCATATTTCGAGATTTGTACCCCTAATCTTAATATTTTAAAATTAGCTCCCCAAATCTATATGTAATTCGAAATTAGTGCCCCGCATCTTTATATTTTGAAATTGGTCTGCCAAATATGTTTGAAATTAGTCCTCCAAATATTTTAACCTAGTGCTAACTAGAGGGACCAATTCCAAAAAAAACTAAAAAGATTTGGAGAACTAATTACAAATTACGGTGATTTGGATGATTGATTTCAAAACCCTTAAAAGTTTTTTGGGACTAATTCCAAACGATGATGATTTGGGACACTAATTACAATGATTGCCCAAATCTTTCATATTTTGAATTAGTTCCCTCAAATTTTAATATTTTGAAATTAGTCCCCCAAAACTTTTAAGTGTTTGGAAATTAGTCTCCCATATCTTCATATTTTGAAATTAGACCCCCAAATCTTTTAAGTTCTTTTTCTTAAATTAGCCCCTCTACTTAACACCAGGCTGAACTATTTGGGAGACAAATTTTAAAATACTTAACATATTGTGGGGACCAATTTCAAAATATGAAAAAGTGGGGCACTAATTTCAAAATATCTTTAGATTTAGGGAACTAATTTCAAAATATTAAAAATCTAGGGGACTAATCTCACAATAAAGCACTGTGCTTTTGGGTCTAGTAATCAAGGAAAGAGACAGAAATATGTCCAGTCAACAAACACCGCCTGTATTATATACAGAGTGAATAGACTAAAGAAAAATGATAGGGGCACACCCCCAACCACAATCCCAACCACACCCCCTCTCTCATTTGCTACAGTATACCGGGGTCAACATGGGATTTTAAAATTTAAAAATCCCCCGAGGGGCCCGGTGCACTGTAGCAAATGAGAGAGGGGGTGTGGTTGAGGTTGTGTTTGGGGGTGTGCCCCTAGTGTCACCCTAGACTAAAAAAGCACAGAGGCTAAAAGACCGCGAAAATTAAGCTCGAACTAAGCAACTAGAGCTCCTGCAGCAAACAGAAAGCTAATAAGAGCATAAATGGATTCTGCAGGACTACAGGATATAGCCTAATGACTATTATTATTATTATTATAGAACAACAATAATATATGAAAGCGAGAGAGATAAGAAACGAACTCATTCTTCATCGCTGGCGGGCAACAAAGCGAGGACAGTTTTTTATTCGTTGCGTTTGCCGCCCAGTAAAGCATTTGGAAAGGCAAGAAAGCGATTCTACTCCTTTGACGCAGCGAAAAGCTAAAACGATAGAACCACAAGCAGGCAGCCAGTCAACAGAATGCTGTGAAGCTACCAAAGAGAGAACAGGCAGATGACAGTGGATCTGAAGTAGCAACATCCAGTGGCGCAGAAAACAGAAAGTTCGACAGGGCCCGGATCATCTAGTAGTAAGTAGCAAACCATTTATTTTTCCCACTCATTGTAGCTTTTACGTTTCTAAAATGGGATCAAGTTTATCACAAAACAACAGCTAAGCACACCGTTAGAATGATGAAAGCAAAGAAAGCAAATTAAGATGATATGCACAAGTTCCATGAGCAATTACACGGGCAAAACAAGAAAAATGGCAGCAAAGCCTCAGTATGTACACTCAAGCTGGTGGATTTAGTGGAATCACGGTATTTGGACAATCCATTCTGCGTCCTGCGAGGGAATAGTACGCCAGCATCTGTGCTGGATGCTCTGCACCCGTTTCGATCTGCTCACCATTTTCGTCAATGTAAAGATCGCGTCTTGGAGGAATAAACTCTATGTTCCAAAAAGGACGGGCCATTGCTAGAAGATCATTACCATATGGCGAGGCGTTGTAGCCCTGAACCCATATGTATCGTAAAGAAGGTAACTGAAGCACTGCAAGGGACAATGCACGCTCACTGAAACAGCAGCCTCTGAGCTCCAGTTTCCGCAGTTTAGGGCAACCTCTTGAGAACTGGAGAAGGCCAGAATCAGACTCTCCCACATGGCCTAAGAGCATCCATAGAATATTCTTACTGAAAGAGCCAATATAGTCGAGACCGACATCTGTCAGGCCCCCAGGTCTCAGATAGAGAGCAAACCTTCTCAGTTGTGTGCAACCCTGTAAAAGAGCACGAACACCGTTGTCAAGGGGCAGTTCTGTTATTCTTTCTTCTCTATCTAGTAAAACAAGCCTAAAGTCACAGAGGTTTTTGCTGTAAGTGCCGATAGCCTCCAGAGCAGAATTCATGATATCGGAAACATAGGCAGCCAGGTACTCCAGTTCTGGGCAGCCTTGGGCAACTGCAGAAATCCCTATATGTGTAACTGTCCCCTGTTCATCCTCAAGGCCTTGTTCGTCTTCCCCCCGCTCTATTCTCAGCCTTTTAAGTTTTCTACATGTCTGAGAGACAACTTCTAACCCCCGATCTCCAATCACATTTCTCACCTGTTACACAAATATAAATCGGCGATCACTAGGACTTACCAAGTTCAGCTTCCAGCTAACAACAGTACAATTAAAGGGCAGTAAACACTATTTATGACATACCTCGAGAATTTCTAGATTAGGACATCTTTGAATCAGCTGACAGTGATCCTCGGTACTGAGAAATGTGTACTGCAGGTCAAGTTTCTTCAGTGAGGCAGCAAGTAGAAATATTATCTGCATCTCATTTGTTCCCATATAGCTAAGACCCAAGCGGCATAGCTTAGGAGGAAAGCGGATCTTCTCATACTTGTCGGTTTCTCCTGTTTGATCATCAAAAGAGCCCCCACCAAACTCTTCCAGTGCTGTTGCTGCACGGAAGAATCCAACTAGCTCGGAGATGTCACATTCAGAAATTTTCAACGAAATCAAGGACTTGCAATTTTTAGCAATTAACTCAAGATCTTGCCACGAGACACTCAGCTCTGTCATGTAAAAGTTTAAAGATTCAAGAACTGAATTATTAATGGCTAGCGCATGGAGCCACTGGCCTTCCTTCTCAACTACAATGCTTTCTTCCAAGAATAAGGTTTTAAGGCACCTGTAAAAAGTACATGGACAGATCAGCAACAAATAATTCTAGGAACCAATATTGAGAATTTAGTTTAAAGGAAAATATGTCATCGACACAATCTAATACAGATACCAGCAATTGTTTTCCTACACACTAATTTAAAAATCAGAACAAACCAGTTAGATCAAATAAATCTAGCTATATGCTGAGGACACACTGAACAATTCAATAAATTCGATTCCAACACTTTTAAAAAAATATCTGAAGCAAACGCCATTAGATTGGCATCCCTATTGCTAAATCTAGTGTTTATGTAAGTTCTTCCCTCGAAATAAATCATAATACAACATATGAAGAAAAAGGGCCACTGTATATATGAAAATAGGACATGATATCCACAAGAAAGCAACACAGCAGAAACTGAGAACAACTGACCCTGCGCATGTGGGTGGGTGGCAAGGCACGAACTTTCGTGGCCAAAGGCCCAGGTTCAAGGCTGCCGCACATGTCTCTTTAAGTGTCCTACTAGCCTGGTGACTGGGCAGGGTAAGGGGGATCCAGTTTACCCTGGGTTTATTGGTAAGGGTGGGGGACTCGAACTCGGGCCTTGCTCGGGGATCCTCCTGCCTTACCAAGTTTCCCTCGTATCCCAAAAAAAAAAAAACTGAGAACAACTAGCAGAACAGATGATCATCTAATCAAATACATACATAATAGACAGGGAACTAATAACAATAATTGCACCTAAAATGGCTTCCACTACCACTCAGTAAACAGCCAGTCAACACTGTGCTTTATATTTAAAAAGTTGAATAATATTTGTGATACACGGTAAAAAGCTTACATGAGACCTAGATATGACAAGGAAAAGTCAACTTCGCAACAGAAAGTCAAAATTCGCTTGATTAGAGGGGATTATAGTTACACAGTACACGGTAAATAGCAGGTCGTGGTACGAATTCAGGTATGCAATTCGCTACTTAGAAAATTTGGATTCGATGGGGGTAGCTTGCTTTGGTACGCAAGTTCGGTCAATAGTACGTTGTAAAAAGATTTTGGGTGCTCTTACCTTTTTCCATAGTGTATAGTAGAAAACTAGAAACTAGAAAGCAAATTATGCATTTCAATACTTTTCATACAAAATACTAAAATGCCTTTTTTTTGGAGTCCATTCGTTTGTTTTGTTTCACTTTTCACATAGTTCGTGTTGGGATCATAGTTTCATTTTAAATTTCATTAACATAGGTATTTAATGATAGTAAAGTCATCGACTCATATATTTGATTGTGCGCCTCCCTTTATTGTGGCCATTGCATTGCGTCTTGCGCACATACACTTAAAAGGAACTTTGCGCCCCTCACACTTAAGCAGCACCCCAATTTTGGGAAACCAATTCGCGTATTGGAGTGAATAAGTTCACAAGTGTACCGGAAATCGCTTCGCATGAACTCCTAGGCAATCACAGCAAACTAATGGAGCGTCGGCTG